TTGTTTCTGGTTGGCATACCTTTCCTCTGCTCTGATACTCAGGGCAAAAGAGCATGTGGATCTCTGCCAAGCGGTTACTGTGTGTAGTTCCAAACACGGTGGTGCAGGCTTGAAATGTCACAAGCTGTGTAACACTGTTGGTGCCGGGAGGTGGATCTGTGAACCCATGGTGCCAGGGGAAGCTGCTGCTGCCTCCTGCTGGTTAAACTAGATTTAAACCGGGGGCTTCACAATTTTAGTCTGTCTCATCTTTCCCACTCTCCTTTTCTTCCAAGGGTTCATTTGTTGAATAAATCCACCTACATGCCACCATTTAAACATCACACGTTAAATTTGCATGTTTATTTGGATGTATTTATGGCCTTTCTATTCTGTTTCATTGATCTATTCATTCACAATACTGCTTTAATTATCATGGCTTTACAATGCAGTTTTCCTGTATCTGATAGATAGGGTTGCCCCTCCTTACTTGACTTTTTCAGGATTTCCACAGGTTTGCTGTTTGTTTTTCCACTTGAATCTCAGAATACAAAAAGAATCCACTTGATATTTTAATTGGAATAACACTAAATTTGTCGGTTTACTGAGGAATCTTTGATAACTTTAGGATGCTGTATTCTTAGGCCAAATATAATATGCCTTTCTATTTGTTCACCCTTAGGCTCCTTAGATTTCTGCTTGTCTTTCAGGCACCGTTCTTATGTTTATTCCTAGATATTTGACTTTGCTCTGTGGTTACGGTAAATAGGACGTTACCTTCCACGACATCTTCTCTCTGGCTGCTACATCTATTTGTGATGGCTATTGATTTCTACACATTAGTAGAATTTTACTAATTACTTATGACTGCATGGACTTAATAAATTTTCTTATTGTGGAAAATGGTTTTGCAGTTAATTCTCTCAAGTCTTCATGAATACAAGTCGATTTACCTACATAAATAATGATATTTATTACATTCCATTAATATATTACTCTCAAATGGATACGTTAGTTTACTAGTCCTTTCTAATTAGAGCTAGTAGCTCTAGAATAACTAAGGAATAGTAGTGATAATGTCATCCTGTTCTGTCCCTGACTTTAGCACAAATGCTTCTAAATTCTGTGTTAGGAAGCATGACAGGCTCAGGTAAGTATCTTTCATCATGTCAAGAAAGCATCCTTTTATTTCTACTTTGCTAAGAGTTTCTTTTTAGTAAAGAAAGGAAGTGATTTTGCCCTTTAAAATGTTCTTTCTATCCACGTGTATGCTTTATCATGAACATTTTAGTTGAGTATAACATGTATAACTTATAAATAAGCAAACATAAATGTATTGGGAAATGCCAATTTCTAAAAATGGATTCAAGCATGCAATCAAACAAGTTTAGGAACCAATGGGTTTAGAAGATTATAATAAAGTTACTCATATTAAAATATTAACATTTACCACATATATCTTTCCTTTTTAATGCAGAAGGAATATGAGGATCTCAAATACTTTAGGTTCATCATTATGGATACTGGTTATCATATTAGTTGATGGAAGACTGGTTAACTGAGGATCAATCACTGGAATGCCTTAGTTGTCCTCTGAAAAAGTCTGTGTTTTGTGGCCCTTTGAATGCCCTCTTCTACATGGGACAGGTCCAGTGAGCAGCAACACACTGGGACCCCCCAGGCCCTGAACCTCCCATCATGCAGGAACCACAGTATGATGGCAGCAGAGAGAGTGAGCAGTGTGACCTGGGCCCAGTCTCTCTGGATCACACCTTGCACAGTAGGGTGTCTTGGCTAAAGTTGCTTTTCTGGCAGAGGCAAGGTGATGGTACATTTATCAGAGGACCAGTCAAAGGGGAGGAAGGAGCCAGACTTTGTAAAGATCCATTGCTTTGACACAGTGGGACTTCCTGTCAAGGCCACTGACAGAAGTCTTCCTCAGTAGATTATTCTGAAAAGTAAAGAAACACCAGTATTCTTTGTAGTCATAAAAAGGGAAAAGATAGCTGGAGGGATAAACATCCCAACCAACAAGTTCTTTTTATGGGATGTCTGGCTTTCTGCAAATTTTTACTGAACCAAGACATGTGTTCATTTTAAATTAATACATGCAGTACAAAAACTCAAAACAATATGCTGACTTATTCCATAAAGATAATTTCCAGGCTAACTGTGGTTTGTTTCACATTGTCAACAAGAGTAGGGGTGGGAAGAGGAATCTCATAAAGTCTTGGAGATGAAGTTTGAGTTCATATAAAATGACTACTCTGAAATCTACAGTAGATTAAGTCTCAGATTCTCTCTGTCTCTCTGTCTCTGTCTCAGTCTCTCTCTCTATATAAAATGGCAAATTAATTCAACTTTGAAAGTACTTATTTAGCACCATGGGAACACAGAAGCAAGAGAAAATGGAGGGTCTTTTAATCTATTTAGAGAATGAATACATGTGCATGTAGAGTAGATAATGAGTCAAAGAAATATAAAATTGAATAACAAAATAAGAAGCACAGACTGAGTTGTGAGAGGTCAGAAAACTCATGACTGGCTGTTATGGTTCCTATAAATATAGCCTAGCCAGGGGGAAAGTGGAACATATGATTTATACCTCCTTTCTCCCAGCAATGTTCTAACACCACAGGCTCACTCTACCTGCTCAACTTCCTATGCATGGGGTTTCCCCACGTCTGCAATGACGACCTCACCACAGGGGAGGAAGTCAGAGCTTCTGTTGGCTTTCTCCTGTGCTGAGTCAAGTAAGTAAAAACTGTCCAGCAGTGGACAAGGATGCTTTTGGCTATAGGGCTACTGAATTCAGTGCCACTGGGCTGGTCAGATCAGTTGAGTCAAGGAAGGAGATACCAATGGGCACGTGAGGAGATGTTCAACTCATTAGTCAGGGAAGTGCACATTAAAACACAATGAGATACCACTGCCCATCCATTAGTATGGGTAAAATTAAAGACAAGAGTGAGCATGCCAAGTGTTAGTGAGGACATGAGGACAGGGACTAACTGACAGGGAATGCAGCATGGTACAGCCATCTGAAAACCTGTACGGAGTTTCTTGTAAAGCTAATACACACTTAACAAGTGACATAATTCCACTTCTCAGTTTTTACCTCCACCCTCCAAATAAGAACATGTCCTTAGAAAGACTTGTATGTGAACGTTCAATCATATCAGTTTCATTCACAAGAATCCCAAACTGCAAACAACCCAGAACAGGGGAACTGATAAACAATTTATGGTGTATTCAGGCTGTACGAAATTACACAGCTACAAAATGGAATGAACTATTGCTATGCCTGACAACATAGATGAATCTCAAAAATGTGCTCATTGAAAGAATGATTCTATTTATATGGTATTCTAAAAAAACAACCCAGAGTGACAGAAAGCAGATCTGTGGCTGGGGTGCAGGTGAGAGACTGAGTGGGAAGGGACACAGGGATCTTCAGGAGGGGTGCCCATATTTCATATCTTGACTGTAGCAGGGGTTAAACTGGTGTCTAAATTTGTCCAAACACATCAAACAGTACACTTAAAATGGGCACATTTCGTTGTCTGTAATTTATACCTCAATAAAGCTGATGTAAAGAGGAAGCACCTCTTCTAAGGAAGGGGCTTTTGGGACAGTGGCCCAGTGGGAGGCAGCTCTCCTGGGGGGACGGAGTGGAGCCGCTCCCCTCCCAGTCTGCTGAAAGGCTGTGAAAGCAACGAGGCTGGTTGTCCGCAGGCAGCTGTGGTGTACAACCCGCCTGGTTGGTCTGATTCACTCAATTCACTGGCTCCTCCCTTGAACAAGAACTTAAGTTGGGGCCTAGCTGTGGTTCGGCGGGGTGTTCCCCACGGGCCCTGTGCACTCTGAGGGCAGTCCCTGCTCTGAAAGCATGCCCCGTCTGAGACCAAGGGCGATGTCAGAGGAGACACACAGCTATTGCTTTTGCTGCCTCAGAAGTGGTCCTCTTGGTGGGGAAACCGGGTGTTCATAACGCACACCTGAGTTCAGGAAAATCCAAATAAACTTTCCCCTTACCTCCAAATTTCTCAGCCAATTCAATGAACCAAGTGGAACAGCCCAGTTTGGGGGAGATTTGCAACTGTGTGATAGATCGTAATCTCAACTAAGTATGTTATGAAATCTAAATTATAGTTATGGAACAGTGAAAATTTACATATTTTCATCAAAATTAAATGGGAAGCTGAGTATGACTATGAGCAACATTCTGTGGAGAAATTATCACAACCAGATGTACGTAAATTGTTCCCTAAGTAGAAGAAGGCACCCTCCCAAGCCATTCCCATGAATTTATCTTATATGGACACTAAATGCCATATCCAAAGCCCATCTTAAATTACTGTTTTCCTTCCAATGAACCATTTCCCCCACTGTGGGAGATATTTGTAAGTTGTTGGCTAAGTTAACAATTACATGAGTTTCAGTAAGTCTTTGTTTTTAGAAGTTATCTTTTTTAGCTGCCTTAAGCATTTTTTAGGTAAACAGGACAAAGGAAAAAGAAACAAAGAATGAGTTCCTAAAGACATTAACTCTTAAATGGCTTGACTAATTGCATGGCTCAGAGTATGATTTCTTTCCTCAATGCACAGGCCAGAGCTAGTAATCAGGACACACAGTGGGTCTATCTCTTTGTGCTCCTTAACTAGGTATGTGACTTCAAGCAAATCTAAACTTTGTTCCAAGGATGGTACCATTTCCTTAACCCATCTCAACAAGTAAAAAGCTTTCTTTGAAATATTAGAGGTGATAACACTTTGAAAAATTAAAAGTGTAATATGAATATAAAGCTGGCACTGTTGCATTTAAAAGATCAGACTTTTAAAATATATTATAACATTTATATATTGTAATATATAAGATAATACATGTGCTATCACTACTACGCATATGTTGTAGGACCAGTCTCTAAAGCAATAAAAATCATCTGTCATCTTTTCATTTTCCAGTCAGTTAGCAATGAGCACAGGGGTTAAGTAGCCACCAAGAGCAACACCCATTCTTACCACGTTGTCAGGAATGGTTCTCTGTGGCTGCTATAAATCATTTTAAACTTCACACTGGGGTGTTGCAGGAATTATTTTGTTATTAAAACAACAGACGGGAAAGTGAAGCCTAGAAATGGAATAACAATAAAAAATAAAAAATAATTAGGTCATAGAAATTCTGACCTAGTATGTAGTTAGCATTGCATTCAATTGTTTAGCAGTAAAAAATAAAATAGAACACACACATGTCTGCATTGTTCTTATGGAATAAGAGCACCATGAATTGGAAGTCAGGAGCTGGCCTTGCCTCTCTCGGGCTCACTGTCTCTTGCCTAGTGCCTGACCTGCTGGGTGTCTCCAGGCCCTGGCTAACCCCTCCCCTCTGCTATCTTCCTGTCACATCATATATGAGGGTAGAGATGACTCTCAGTTTTCCCTTGTAGGAACCTTAGGAACATATGGGGTGCTTTTCTCCTTCTTGAGTTGTTATATTTAGCTGAGCACATGTTAACTGAGCACATAAGCCAGACAAGGATACAAAGGTAAATAATACATGGTCTTTGCTCTCACCTGCTAAAGAGCTGATAGTTGGCTGGGCTAAAAGAGGACACAGAAAGTGCCCTGCTCTTCTTGGGGGAGAGAGAGCACATGTAGCTACCTGGGTTAGGACGGTTTTGGGGCAGAATTTCCATCGCTTGAGCCAGGCATAGAGTGAGAGGGGCCCTATAGGATCAAATTCCCCAAGCCAAGGACAGAAAAGCAGCAGGCAAGCTTTGAGCAGCAGTCAGTTCAGTCCTGGGATGCAGGCAGGGCAGTGCATGAGGTGGGGGAATGGGTGGAGCAACACTGGAAAAACAGATTGGTTGGGGCACAGGAAAATAGGGAGTCTTGGAAACCCTGCTGACAATTTTGCCGTTACACTGTAGGCAGTTGGAAGAGGATGGTGAGATACTGGTATCAACCTGCTTTGTATTCAGGGGACCTCACTTGAATGGGTTGTGCCCACCCCTTCTTTTTCCCTGTCCCCTCCCCCAACAAGAGCTCCCTAGCCCTAGGAGGAAGGCTTGGGGAGCCACCCAGCCCGAGGGTCCCCTATGGTGGATTTAGCAGTGGGGACGGTCGGTGGGTGGCTTCCAACTTCCATATCAGCCAGCCCCAGTGATAGCTGGCTTTCGGGGGCTGGCATGGAGCTTCAGACCCAGACTTTGACTCCATGGAGAAGGATTTGAACAAGGTGCTGCTTGGTTCTCTGCTCAGAGCCCTCTATGACTCAAGCTTCAAGGCTCACTGGACCTACTTATGGCTGGGGGAGGAGACGGGCTGGGAAGTGGAAGTGCTGTGGCTGGGCAGAGCTGGACAGCTGCAGCAGGGCCATCCTGGCCCAGTTCAACATGTTCCAAGAGCTGAGCCACCCTGGGGAAACAGCATGCATTACTAATAATTTTTTAATTTGTTGTGATGTCTTTTTCATGTTAGAATAAAGTTACTTTAATACCTAATTTTGTATTTGAAATTTTCTATTTTTTCCTAATGATTCATTCTCCAATTTGTATAAGCTTATGGTCCCACAAACTTGGATCAGCTCTTGGATGATTCTGTAATATTGGCTCATTAAATATTTGATTAATTATGATTGCTAAGGACACTGAGCTCCTAGGACTCAAGAACATTAAGAAAATAAAATGCATTTCAAACAAAGAAACAAAATAGCTGTATTAGTACATTGGCTGGATAATCACCAGGGCTGGATTATGACCAGGGGCCTTTTGAAAATTAGGACAGCCAATTCTGGGCTCCATATGAATTCAACACTACAGCAAGGAGGGGCCAGTCTATCTGCCTGGAAGTGGCTGTTTTATTAGGTTTCTGCTAGAAGCACAGTTATGTGGTGTTAATAATATCTAATGTCATTTTTACTTTTAATTTTCAGCAGATTATTTTCCTTATCTGGTTTTCCAATGTTAAATTAGCTGGATGTGTAAAGTATTCAAGAAGGAGTAATTTAATTCTTTATAACTTTATTTTCCAAAGCTTAAGAATGGTATTTAAAAACAAAAAATTAGTGAGTTCTAACCAAAGTCCAATTAAATAATTAATTTCATAATATAATTGCTAACTTTTAAAAATTGTATCAAATGTATACATTTGAACATTATAGAAACTTGTTTTAAAAAGCAATTTAATATTTTTAAGTTTGGTGTATATGAAGTAATGGTTAATAGGACTGAAAAAAGCTTCAGAGTTACAACTCTCCAAAGTTGCAATTTCTGTATTTCAAAATCCAAAACATGGACAAAATATGTGAATCAGTTGTTTTCAAGATATTGGACAACCGGAAAGAAAGGACTGTGATCCCTGAGAGATGGGTAACAAATAAGGCAAGCCTTATAATGGCCTCAGATTGCTGTTTTAGGAGAGTTTTCAGGCAACAGTGCACAGAAGGGGGAACCCTAAGGGAGTCCCACAATCTCCTTGAGTTGAGGAGACAAATTGATCAACACAATCCCAACCAAAATCCTAGCTAGATTTTTTTTTGTAGAAATTTAAAAGCTGATTCTAAAATTCACTAAGAAATGCAAAGAACCTAGAATAGCTAAAACAAGTTTGAAAAGGAACAAAGCTGGAGGAATACAATATCTGATTTCAAGATAATATAAAACATGGTAATCAACAGAGTGTGGTTTGGCATTAATACTTAAAAACAGATCAATGGAGCAAAATAGAAAGCAATAAATAGACCCACATGAATATATGGAAAACTGATTTGTGACAAAGGTGCAAGGGCCATTTGGTGGAGAAATGATAGTCTTTTCAACAGATGATACTGGAACAATTGTATGTCCATATACACAACAAATGAATTTCAATCTATATCTCATACCATATACAAAAATCAACCCAGAATAGATCACAGATTTAAATGTAAAACCAAAAGTACAAAACTTTTAGAAGAAAATATAGGAGAGAATCTTTATGACCTTGGATTAGGCAAAGATATTTAGACACAACACCAAAAACAAGATAATTGAAAGTATAAACTGATTCATTAAGATGAGAAACTTGTCCTGTGAAAGACACTATTAAGGGAACTAAAGAAAAAGCCAGATGGAGAGAAAGCATTGGCAAATTACACAGCTAATAAAGGACTTCAATCCAGAATATACAAAGAACTCTCAAAACTCACTAAAAAAGAAACAAGAGTCTCAATTAAAATGGGTAAAAAATTTGAAAAGACACTTCACCAAAGAAGATATATGAACAGTCAATAGTACATGAAAAATGCTCAACATGATTTGTCATTAGGGAAATACAAGTTAAAAACCCAATTAGATGTCAGCACACCTAGAGAGTAGCTGAAATTACAAAGACCTACAATACCAAGTGTTGTTGAGAAGGTGAAGGAAGTGAAACTCTTATTCACTGCTGGTGAGAATGCAAAATGGTACAACAACTGTGGAAAAGTTTAACAGTTTTTAAAAATGCTAGACATGGAGGGCGGAGCCAAGATGGCGGCGTGAGTAGAGCAGTGGAAATCTCCTCCCAAAAACACATAGAGCTATGAAAATATAACAAAGAAAAATCTTCCTAAAATAGAGACCACAGGACACAGGACAACATCCAGACCACATCCACACCTGCAAGAACCCAGCGCCTTG